AGAGAGATAGATTGCTAGAATAAGAATTCAAAGACTGCCCGCTCGACGAGGGCGCCTCTGAGCGAGACGGGCAGACGAACGTAGAGAAAGAGAGAGTAAGAGAGAACGAAGAGAGAAGTGGGAACGAACACGACGTGGCAGCGTCGCGGGAGAGAACGGAAACGAATCCGAGATGATCCGGCGGCCCGGATCGTCGAGAGAGAGTTGAAGAGGAAAAGAAGAGAGTTCACGAGCCTTATCCTTGAGCGATACGTCTCGTGGGAGGCGTACCGCGCGCGGACAGAGAGAAAGAGAAGAAGAGAAAAGAAACGTTGAATTCAAGTAAGATGCGCCCTCCGAAGAGGGCGAAGCGACACTAAATACAGGTCGGCTACGATTACAACTCCGACTATACACGTGTATACGGATGATGCCGAAACGCGGCTTGAGACTGTACGTGGCGCGCCACTCCGACCCCGGACGTGGCGCTATGGAACAAGTAAATACGCGAAAAAGTAAACTAAGAAAATGTGTGTTACAAATCCCCCCCCAGTCACAAGCTGCGGGGGGGCATCCCATCCTAGTCTATACGATCTCCTCCTTCGCTGTCGTCATTCGTAGGGCCCGTTCCTTCTTCCCCTTCTAAGCGCGCCTCAGCATCTCTCTCTATCTCCGCCTCGACGGGCGCAAAGTCCTCGGGGTGCAGTTCGATCCGGTATAAGCGGGACATCGGAGTTACTGCTCTCGCAAAGCGTTCTGCCCAAGCCAACGATCCCACCCCATCTGATCGTCTCCGTATTCCTCCTGAGCGCGGCACGTCCCGATACCAGTCATTCAGGCGATTAAAGACATTCTCTCCCCGAACCAGCTGGTTCCGACGCCGGCTAAACCATCGTTCGTTCTCAAACGACCACTCACCGTCCCAGACGAGGCTGCTTGGCCCTTCAAAGATATCCAAGGGAGGCCAGATGCTGCTACCATTCTCCACTCTTCCTAACAGAGCGTCCAGTTCCCCTTCCGATAGCGAATCCGTGATCGAAGGCTCAGGAAGGTCCGAGATATCGCCTCGTAGGTGCAGGGTGGCTATCGCGGACGGCCCTCTTACCGCGGCTTCAACCAAACGCAGGTCGCCGAATTCCATGGCGATCCTCCATAGTAGCCCACCTTGTTGTAGAGCCCTGACTGCATTGGGTCGCGCTAGGACTTCGTTCACAGCCCAGCGATAGGACGCAATCGGATCACCCGGATGATGATTCCACCATCCAACCACCGGGTCGCAATCGAACCAAGCGGGTCGAAGGAGAGGGTCCGGCGTAGGCGGAAGTTCAGCCAAAGGTACGCGGTACTCGATGGGGACTCCGGAAGCTACTGCGTATAGAAGGAACTCCTCTTCGAACGACGGTCCGTATCGATGTCGTACCAAGGCGGCGCGTAAGGCGGATAAAACTCCCAGATACAAGAAACTATGTCGAGCCGGAACCGCACGCGGGGGGTTCCATACAGGCTGCTCCGGCTGGCCTGGTTCCACGATAATGCCCGCACGGTCTCGATTCCGAACCACCCTCTGTACTTCCTCATTCCGGACCAGCGCTTCAGTCCACGCCCATCGCTCGTCGGAAGCACTGGGGTGTTGCATTTCCAACCGTACGGCTTCCATTAGATCAGAGAGAGAAGATACGTCTGGCGGATCTTGTACGCGGTCCAGGAGAGGACGACGAGTTATATCGCCGGATTCGGAGATGCGCTCTAGCAAGGTTCCAGCACCTAATACCTCCCTGGTCTGATCCAACGTTAGAGTTCGGGCTTGGGAAGTACGCTCTCCGGTCGCAGCCCCGGTTTCTGGTTCCTCAGACGCGGTGATTCGCTCCTGTAGGGTTACTCGTTGCTCCGGTAACGACTCTGAAGCATGGCTCTCGTTCGCGGATACGGCTCTTCCCCAAGTCGGAACTGAGGATGTTTCTCCCCATCCACTCGTCTCCGCCGTACCCCACGCGACACTCTGCTCCATGCCCCATTCGGGAATACTTTCGGTACCCCACGCGAGATCGTTCAACATCGTCGCCGCGCGACGTTCGCGATCTGCTCGTGGTTCGGTAGGGGGAGTCCTTCCGACTATGCTTCTGGTCCTCTCTTGACCTGGTTCCCTCCCTCCGGAGCGTCCGCGAGGGTTGGAACGGATTTGAGGAGAGGAGGTCCTACCGCGTCGTCTCCATCTTCCTGGCGTCGGGTAGTCTCGGCTGCCAGCCCGGCGATCACGATACTCCCTTCGCTCGTAGTCCTGTGATCTCTTCCTTCCACTACTCCCCCCGGGAAGTCGAACGCGTGAAGAGCTAGCCTGCCCTGCTTCCGCCTGCGGCGGCTCTGGGGGAGGTTCGTGGAGCGACCTTTCCATGGCCAGCCGCAAATCGTTGGCGAGAATCTCGTCAGCTTGCTCGTTGGTCGGAACAGGAAGCGTCATCTCTGCGTCCTCCGCCAGTTCCGTTTCTCTGGCCTTCCCTTTCCCTTTGTCCCGAGGCTCCCCTTCCTCATCCTCGGAGGGTTCCCCGTAATCAACTCGCTCTTCCATGATGTCAGAAGAGGGATCCGCGACAACGACAGCGGGTAAAGGGGCTAAGAAAGGCGATCCTGGAGGAGACGGGGGAGCAGGTCCTCCCCCCGTAGTTACCCCGTGGGCCCAACTGGTCTCGGTGTCCATGGCAAAGGGTCCGTCCTCATCATCGTCGTCCGAATCGTCAGGAGTGGCGGGAGTCATAGGCCTAGAGAGAGGCGAGTCTTCGTCCAACCAAGCGCAGTCCGTGCCCCGGGGGAACCTCTCTACTAGCTCGAGGTCCATGAGATTACGACGCTTCTTCCACGAGATGACCCGCCCGTAACGGTAAGGATGTTCCGGGTCGTCGGGCGTGCGCTCCCGGCTCAACCTGGAGAAAAGCCAAAATTGAAAGAACATAGACTTGGCGTGCCTCCCTTCCGTCCACCTGTTCGACCGATCGCGCGGCGATTCGGTGGAAGGTGGAGGAGAACGAGGCGGTGGCATCGGCTCAGAGTCCCTCCCGTCAGGTACGGGGACGTGCTCTGTAGTCGAAGTTTCCGGGTTTACGACCGGTGCCGAGGAGTTGGCTACGAAAAGTTCCGCCGGATTCAAACGCTCCAATCCCGGAAGCAAAAGGGAACGAGTGGTCCACAACCAGTCCACCGGTACATCCCTCTGTAAGTACCAATCGATCCGAGGAAAGTTGGCCGTTCCTGTATTGGTCCAGTCGATCACCGTTCCGCGATTCGGGGCGTCGAGGACACCTTCTCTCTCTAGGTACGAATACCATCGCCTACGCATGCCTAGCAATCGTGGCGGAATGTCTCTCCAGTTCGGCCCAGCTTGATGCAAAATCCAACGAATCAACCCCTGCCATTCCCAAATACGTCGCCGAAACTCGGTAATGTCACGCAGTTGATGCTCCACCGGTCGAGGAAAGCTAAGGATGTTGACGTTGGGAATATGCGTATTGAATCGAAAGCGGGCCTTCAGCTGAAAGTATTCCACCAGCTTGCGCACCGTGAACGTATAATAGTTCATACGCTGCGAGAGTTCTTCGATGGCGTTGGGGTTGACGTGGATGCTTCGGACGCGAGCGTCGCTATCCGAGTCATCCATCGTCCCAATCAGCGCCGCTTCGTCGTCCGGTACCCGAAATCCTAACAGCCTTTCCGAACTCCCCTCTGTCGTTGGCACGGGACGGTATGCTCCCCAAGGCTCCCAATGATGAAACCACGTGCGCGGAAATAGGAAGTTACCCTCCGTGTCCGCGTATGTGGGCTCTCGACCGGGAATCAAGAAAGCACTAATCTCCAGGCTACCAGACGTACCCACGAGAAGACCATAATGATATTCCAAACGCTCCAACACCACGCTCCTGCCGTCCGCCCATCGCAATACCAACTCCTGCGTCCGCGGTCCCGCCACCGAATCTCTCAACGCGTCGAGTACGGCCATGTTCCCCGGGTACGCGGGCGCCGCTGTACCCGAGTGATTACCGTGACTTGACGAGGGGGTTGCATAAGTTACCAAAGCCAAAAGGAGAAAGAGATACAGAGAAAAGAGCATGACGGCCAAGGTCGTCGTCGTCGCGCGGTGAGTGTGCGGAGACGGTGAGGGAGCGGAGCATGAGGCGGACGATTTAAGCGACGCGGTCGTCTTATTCCGTCTCCGCCCGAATTCTCGCGCGTCTCCTGCTAATCCCGGATCCGGGATTCCGGCTCCGCCACACCCGTTACAAACCAACGCGTTTGTGGTATCTCGACACGATGGCGGGGGCATTCTTGAGGTTCGCCCGAGGCTCCCAGGAGTCGTATTGGGGCGAATAACGCTTCCATCGCACCAAATATTCTAAGCCTTGCCCCTCTTGCTTCTCCGGTGAGCCACTATATCCTCGACTTCGTATTCCTCCGACGCCACCCTCTCCGGTCGTGTGTCCGGTAACGTGGTTCGTGGCCCAAACTCTGCGGGATTCGACGGTCGATAGCGACGCAGGTGTTGCAGATTCAACACGTTGGTCCCTGGATACTTGTCGTCCATATCCAATCTGTAAACCTTGCTGTTGATCCTCTCGCGAATTTCGAACGGTCCGACGGCTCTCTGCACCAGCTTTGCGCCTACTCCCTTCGACTCGACCCATTCCAGCGAGTGCGGGTTTACCAGGACTAGATCTCCCTCCTGAAGGTCCAACTCTCTACGCCCTTTGTTGTATACCTCGCTCTGCCTGACTTGGGCTTTCGCGATCGCGTTCCTAGCGCTCTCCCGATGCATGTGCAGTTCCTCCGCGAATCCCTGTGCATCACCGTTGTACAGCAGCTTAGCCTGGGGCGAAAAGTCTTTGCTACTCGGTCCTAGGAAGTCCAGGGGTCCCTTAGGAGTAAAGCCGTAAAGTAGAAGATACGGCGCTACTCCCGTGCTTCCGTGTACTGTCGAATTGTACGCGTGCTCGAGCAACGGCAACCACTTCGACCAATTCTTCCTATCCTCCTGCACGAACGCCCGTAACATTTGCTCAGCCTGCTTGTTCACTACCTCCGTCTGACCGTCGTGTTGTGGGTGATGCGACGACGACAAGGACATCTTGACTTTCAGGAATCGGGCTACCTCCCTCCAAAAGTCGGATGTCCATCTCGGGTCCCTGTCGGAGACGATGTCGTCCGGTAAGCCGAAACGACACGCTACAAATCTGACGAACAATTCCGCGAATCCCTGAGTATCCAGGCCTGAGTCCGTCGGTATAAACTGAGCGTGTTTGGTCATACGATCTACTATGACGAGGATGGCGTTATAGTCGTCGTCTGACATTGGTAGCCCCGTTACCAGGTCCAGCGACACCGAAGCGTAGGGTCTTCTCGGAATCGGGTTGGGGATCAATGAGCCGAACTTCGAGAAATTCACATTCTTCGTTTTCTGACAAACGTCGCATGTTTCACAAAACTTCAACACATCTACCTTCATTCGCTTCCAATAGAACCGGCCACTCAGCTTCTGCCATAGCTTCTCCGGTCCTGCGTGTGCGGTTTCGTACGCCGCTTCATGTGCTTCTACGAGGAGGGCGCCTCTCTCGTTTTTAGGCACACAAAGTCTCGGCTGGAAATTCGCGTCACGGAAGAATAACAAGCCTTGCTCGTCTTTGAAGAATCTTCGACTCTGATCCCAAGACGCCTTATTCTCCCCGTTCTCCAGCTCGCTATACCTCCTCTGGAACTCTGTATCTTCCTTGTACCCTTCTACGAACTTTGCTAGGTACTCCGGATTGATATGCACCAGGATGTGTGGTGGAGGATGGTTAGCTTCCCAATCCTTCATCTTGGTGTACGGGTCCCTCTCTTCCTCCACTTCTCTAGGCGAAGGTACTGAGGCCTTTACCTCCCGATCGAGGGCGCCTCTGATCGGTCTGACTTGGCCCGTATCCTGTAACTCCTCCTGTGGTTGCTGCTCCGAAGATGGATCTGAAGTTGGCTGTTGCCCCTGTCGTCCCCCCCCCATCTTCGTAGCATCAGCCTGCCGGTCCTGAATTTCTATCAGCCCTTGTTGCGCCTGCTTCTGCGCCCGAGTAAGAATGTACGCATGCATAGCCGGCGATGGCTCGGTCCAAGGTTCCACACTGGCAATCGCCACATTAGCTATACGCTCCGCCGAGGTATTGTCTCCATACGGTAGTGCCGTCATGTCGCGGGAGACCGAGAGGGATGGCGCGTCCTCATCCATCGGTGCGATGTATTCGGGGATATGCGGGAATAGTCGAGACAGAGGATCGACGTTGCTGTGGACACGTCCTGGTCGGTGCACCACATGAAGTTTCGGCGCGTACGCCGAAAATACGGTCCCCCAAGAAGCGAGGCGGCGATTATTTTCCTCATAAGTCTTCGCCCACTGCAACGCGGAGTGGTCTGTTATGAGTAAAATCTCCTCGCCCTCGATGAAAGGTTGGAATTTCACTAGACCCTCCTTCGCGCCTAGCGCCTCCCGCTCGGTCGTGTGATAACGCTCTTCCGCTCCTCGAAAGCGCCGACTCCAATACGCAATTACCCTTTCTACCGGAACCTCCGTTTCATCCAAGGTTGTACCCCACCGAGCGTCGGCTGGGATATCCTGAACCTTGTCTGAAAGTTTGGTGACCAGCCGGGGAACCTCCTCTCCGGCGTCGAAAGCCTTCTGTAGCTTGTCGTAAGACTTCGTCCCTTTCAAGTCCCCCACCTTGGTCCACTGCACCTGCTGTAGCGTACAGCCTAATCCTTCTCCCGATGCATCCGTGTATAGCCGGTATGGTTGGCCTTGCGTAGGGTGTCCTAGTACAGGGGCCTGCGAGAGAGCCGTCTTGATGAGCTGAAAAGCTTCCTCGTGCTCCGCCTTCCATTCCATCTTGACGCCCTTCTTCGTCAAGTCGAACAACGGGCTCGCGATCGATGCATAATGCGGAATAAACGCCGAAAAGTACACGGCCATCCCCAAAAAGGTGCGTAACTCGCCGACCGTGCTGGGCCTCTGCATTTTCATGATCGTCTCCACTTTCTTCTTGTGCGTTGATAACCCCAGCCGAGAAACCTTGTGTCCGAGGAGTATGATGGAGCTGTAAAACAGGTGGCACTTGACAGGGGATAAGGTGATGCCTGCTTTCTCAATGGCTCCTAACACCTTATCGAGATGCTCGATGTGCTCTTTGAAAGACTTCGAATATACTACGATATCGTCGATGTATACCAGGCAAAACAACCATAGATACGGGGCCAAAATTCCTTGCATAACTCGCTGGAAGATAGAGGGTCCGTTCCTTAATCCGAAAGGCATCCTTCGGAATTGGAATAGTCCTCGATGAGTGCGGAACACTGTCTTCTCCACGTCCCCAGGGTCCATTTCCAGCTGTGTGAATCCCGACAACGCGTCTAGGGACGATAGAACCTGCGCTCCCGCGAGCGAACCCAGAATCTCCGACTGTCGTGGTATCGGGAATTCGTCCGCTGTCGTGACTGCGTTCAGTTTCCTGTAGTCTACGCAGAAACGCGCCTTCCCGTTGCGATACACGATAACCACGGGTGCACTCCAGGGGCTAATCGAGGGCTCAATTACTCCCTGCTCAAACCAGGTCTGTAATTGTTTGTCGATAACCTCCCGTTTTGCTGGAGAAGCCCCGTACATGGGCACCGCAATAGGGACTTGACCCTCCGCCGTTCGAACGTGCACCTTGCTGGGGTGATGACCCAGCCGTCCGTCAAAGCCAAAAGCTTTCACCCGCCGCCTTAGCATGTCCCAAGCCTCGTCTTGCAATTCCTCCGGAAGATCTCCCACGTCTAAGTACTCCTTCATCTTCATGGAGTCGTAAAATTCGTCTTCCGGTACCTCCGCTGATTTGGGGCCGAATTGTTCTGAAGAGTCGCGAGCGTCGCTGACTCCTTCGGCGGCATAACCAGATCGCTCCTTTGCCTCTTGGCTGGACGCACCGGGGTCTTGTTCGGGGCGAGCGCCGCTCCCGGACGGTTCCTCCGTGCTCAACTGGCTATTGATGATACCTTTGATAGCCCAGGCGTACTGGGCCATCTTAGAGTATTCCTCCTCACTCTTCGCCCCGTCCAGATACTGCTCCGCGTCCATCAGCTGCCCTAATATCTCCCCTTTCGCCACCTATCTTCGCAAAGTTCTGCACCTCCGCAAAATACAGGATCGCTGTTTTCGGGCCTCCGTCCCAACTAGGGAGCTTGTCCGGGGAGATCTTCTCCTCCAGGTACGGTCCCCGACGCGGTCGTAGGATGTACTGGTATGGGTCGACGGGAGGAGGTGGTGGCGGATCTCCTCCGCCTCCTCCACCTCCTGGTGGTCCGAAACCTCCCGGATTTCCCGGAGGTATTGGTGGGAAGTTCCCTCCGCCTGGCGGGAATCCTCCTCCTCCTGGGGGTGCTGGTGGAAATCCACCTCCGCCGCCTCCACCGCCGGGAGGGCCGGAAGGCGGTCCGGCTCCTCCTGGTGGAATGGGCGGATACCCTCCCCCTCCAGGTAAAGCAGGAGGGTAGCCGATACCTCCCGGTGGCACTGGAGGATGGCCGTTTCCTCCTGGTGGTACTGAAGGAAATCCTCCTCCGCCTGACGGAGGTGGCGGGTATCCCTTAGATTCTCCGGGAACTGAGCTCCAGTTCGTTTGCAAGGGTTGAGGTAGCGCACTCCCGGGCGTCTGCGTACTCGGGTAAGTCGTCGCGGGCGGCCGTGCCTCGGGAGTCAACAATTGCGGTGCGAGATTAGGGCGCTGAAGATCCTCGAACGCGGTTTGAGCCCGAGTGGGAGCCATGTATATGCTCCTGGCTGTTATGATCTCCGCATTCCTACTTGCCAACCCATCCATCCCAGCCGGGTAAACCGACGATAGGTGTGGAGGTTCTTCCCGCTCGAACTTGACTGAACGCGACTGTGCTTCCAGTTCGGGCGTGAGCGTCACTGCCCGAACCGGCCTTTCCGCCTTGTCTTGATCCGTGGGAGAGTCCTCCTCTCGTTTCTCCGAGCCCTCTTCCGACTCCTTCGGATACTTCGCCTTCGGTGCGACCACATTTACCCGTTCCTTCGATAAGTTCACTCCCCGAAGGACCTCGCCTATCGTGGGCAAAACGTAACCTGTAGCAGATGGCTTCACCGTACTTAAAGGGGGTTCCGCGGGTCTAGACGTCTGCGCCCTCCTTTGACCGACCTCGCCCATCGCCGTGTTCTCAAATACCTCCCTGTCCGGGGTGCCTATGCTCAGCGACGCCCGCCGAACTGGCGGCGCCGTCACCGACCTCGGCGAGGGTTGATTCCATACTGACTGAGGGTACATAGGAAATGATGCCGACGGGGACTCCGTTTTTGGTACTGTGTCTTTACCTGACGTGGAAAACGGAGCGGCAATATTTGTAAACGGGTTCAACGGAGACCTTGGCGCGGCTTTCGGTGGATCAGAAAATAACTGCGTCGAGGCCGGACGAGGTATCTCCGGAATGTGTGACGCTCTCGCGGCTCCTGCACCTGTTCGCGGAACTAGGTTATCAGGTCCGGTGGACGAATCCGACCCCTCCTTCTCGTCCAAGTATCTGACCCACTCCGGGTCCATGATCGGAAACGCCGCCTCGAGCGTTGCTGCGCTGGGTGTCTGCGTGCGATACCACTCCGGATCTAACCTCCTCGCTACTCTCGCGTAACTGGGTGCTCTCATATAACGTAACATGTACTCGTTTACCGATGAAGTAGGACCAAGGCCGTCATAGTGTTCCTCCGTCGTCGTCGCCGGCGACACCGCTCTATCGTCGGATAGATTTTCGATGAAGTTGAGCTCCTTATGCATCTTTACGCGAAGAATCTCCCAAGAACGATAAATCGAGCCTATCGCTTCGTTCACGACCATGTTGGTGATGAGCCTCTCACCCCTATCAATGTAGCGCGGCTTATGTGGCGGTCCCCTCGCTGCCTGAATAGCGTCCAACACGTCCTGACAACTGCGAACCGCGTGCGTAGCTAACGCGATGATGGCTCCGTCCACCGCATATCGCTTCAAATTCGGATTCGATATCATGTCATCTTCGTTGTCGTGCACGTACCCCGGCTCGACCCCGAGGTCCAAAAACTCCTTCACCATGTCGCGTATCGACGCGCTATCACCCCCCTCCAGCGGTGCGTAAAATCTCTGACGCGCTAGCATCACCGCCGAATAGCTGACGCCCTCACTCCCAGAGTTCATACCGGGGCGAGCGTCGCTCCCGTCTGACTCTGGTTCGCGATCCATCGGCGGGTTCGCGTGGAATACCGGCCGAGTTGAGGATGATTGTCGATATGAAGGATCGGGGGTAGGTTCGAAGAAGGTATGAGACTGACGTGACTGAATAGCGACCTGTTCGTTCCAACGAACGTCCGACAACAGCTCCACTACCTCCTCCACGCTTCTCGCGTCCTCTGGTATGGTACGCGACGTTCCGGATGTGTCCACCTTTGAGACACCGACTTCTGGGGTCTCACCGGAACGACTGTCACGCACGTAGTATTACGAGTAAGAGAAGGAGAGAGAGATAGATTGCTAGAATAAGAATTCAAAGACTGCCCGCTCGACGAGGGCGCCTCTGAGCGAGACGGGCAGACGAACGTAGAGAAAGAGAGAGTAAGAGAGAACGAAGAGAGAAGTGGGAACGAACACGACGTGGCAGCGTCGCGGGAGAGAACGGAAACGAATCCGAGATGATCCGGCGGCCCGGATCGTCGAGAGAGAGTTGAAGAGGAAAAGAAGAGAGTTCACGAGCCTTATCCTTGAGCGATACGTCTCGTGGGAGGCGTACCGCGCGCGGACAGAGAGAAAGAGAAGAAGAGAAAAGAAACGTTGAATTCAAGTAAGATGCGCCCTCCGAAGAGGGCGAAGCGACACTAAATACAGGTCGGCTACGATTACAACTCCGACTATACACGTGTATACGGATG